GCCTCCCCCACCCGGCGCTCCCACCCAGCCTGAGCCCTCCCGCTGCTCCTCCTCCTCCTCAGCCTCCTCCCCTCGCGCGCCGCGCTGACAGGCAGCCTCGGCGGGGAGAGTGCAGGTACTTTGCCTTCAGAATAATTTGCAGGACCCAAGCAAGCTTTCGGAGCGCCCCTATTTCCTTGTGTCTCTGCCCCCTCCTCCGGAAAAGAGGATCCCACTTTTGAAACAATTAGAACCCGAAGCACCCTGCCCAAGACGAAGCCCGACGGGCTGCTGTGCGTGTGCTGTCCTTTCTTGCAATTTATTCTGGGCCTGTGTGGAATAGAAAGACAATTCTTTCTTTGACTGGTAGGAAAGAAAAGAGAAGACTCCTCAGGGTTTCCAAGGAAGACTGGAGCGGCTGCTTTAGTAAGTAAACTGTGCTGCTTTTTTCTTTTCTATAAAGTGAGGCTGATGCTGAATGCTTCCCCCATGGTAGGGGCAGCGAGTTCGTTTTACCAGGGAAGAAGTTGACTTATATAACTTCAGTAGTTCATAATTCAGAAGTGGCTTGTAAGATTTTTTTTTTTTTTAAAGAGGCTTGAGAAGACAGGTAACCTCGCCGGGGCTCTGGTTTTGAAACGCTTATTTTTCAGGGCTATTGGAAGCATGGTTGGTGAAACCTTGTTTGGTTCTAAGATTTAAGGATGGTTCCTCAGAAAAAGCTGGGGCATTCTAACCCTATTGGTTCACTTTTCCTGCTCTCTTCGCAGCTACCTTCATCCACACCAACTCCCATCCTTTGCTGATTTCACTTGATTGTTTGCTGTATCTTCAGTTCTAAAGAGGGAGGGCTTGCAAAAAAAAAAAAAAAAATTGGGTCAAGGGAAAGTTAACAAAGAGGTTTGAGGATGGAAAGAAAATCCTGTTGAGGTTTTTAATGCTTGTAGGTTGATGAGGTATGGAGGCAAGTCCTGGGTTGCTGAGCTATGGAGGCAAGTCCTGGGACTAGCCTAGTTTGGAGGGTTCGGGTAAAATTAATTTGGAGAGGGGATGTGAAAAAATGCTTGGGAGAGGGCTGGAGCTGAGGTTGTGACTTTGACATAGCAGGTTATGAACTGTGACAGGGGCTCAGCAGCTAGTGACAGGTTTAAGGTGTCTCCCAGGGCTGAATATCGCTGCATCAAAAACTTTTGCAGGCAGTATTTCCCTTGGGGCTAACATCACCATGTCAGTAGCTGCAGCATTTCTGTAGAAACAAGTAGGGCACTCTTCCTGTCTCTGCAAAAGGGTTAATGATAACTTAAAAGATATGAGTCTTAACATTTGCCAATATTTTGTAATATCTAAATAAAACCTTTTGTGTTATGTCAGGAAAAATATAGTTGAGTCAGTTTGTTTTGCACAAGAGGGAGAGAATCAATAACATTTCAGCATTTTTTTTTCTTTATCACTGCCAAAAGCACTGTGAATCTAATTCTTTTTGCATTGTTACATATACAGTACATACAATAGGGATTGCAGTTTAAGAGATTACACCTGATTGTTCACAAATTCAAAGTTCTTTGACATAATAGAACTCTTATGGACTAGTGTAGAAAAGTGATTAGAAAAACTTTGTTTTATCTTTAGCTTTCAATGTTGTGTCACCCTATAATGCACACTTTCTAATCAAAAGCCTCTGGTTCTAGTAACCAGATTGAAAATTAAAACTACTCATCTTACAGATCATTTCTTTTCGACACAGCACCTTCTCATCAAATACCTATGGCCTCAGTAATATTTAATTGGTCATAATGGTAAAGAAAAATTTTTTTTCCTGTTTAGCCAAGTAAGTATATAAAAAGCAGCTATTTTTATTTGGCATGACTTAAGAAAAATAAGAGCAAAGACATGTACTTTTTTTTTTTTTAAAGAGAAAGCTCTTTTAGAGTAGTTATTCAGTGTCAAATGCTCTGTCTTGGAAATAACTTTTTAGGGTAATGAAATAATGATGTAGTTGGATTTGTTCACATGAAGTTATAGATGGAAATCATTTGGGAAAGGTAGGTCACCATTTCTAGCATATTACTTTATTTCTTATCCAAATGTGTTTTCTGAGAGGTAGTGCTATTCTCATCTGCCATTTTTATCATTGGCTTAAAATGAATATGTCGTTTAAAATGAAGTGTTTGGTTGATAAGATTTGGATTATAGTTTGTGACTTTTACCCATTCATGAGTTTAAATATCTTAGATGATTGCTGATGTTTGAAATAAAATAATTGTTGAAAAATAAAAGATAATGTTGGACTGAAGTAACCAAATTGGAGAGTGGTTCAAACATGTTCTTACATATATACTATGGGACATATTTCCACAATAGAAAAGACATGACATAATTGTTGATCCTATTTGCATTCCTGAAAGCAAAGATTTCCAATTAAAATGGAAACTAATCTGACACATATTCTGCCTCTGTTATAGACATGCCATAGTGCTGAGGAAAATAGGCAGAATTAAAAATCATCTATAGTCAACTTCATATAGTATATTTATTTGATCACTGTTTCTATAAAATAATAGAGAAAAAATGTCTAAGTAGGATGGGATGATTAGATTGTCAGATTTTTTTTTTTTTTGCCACCAGCTTTCTGTGTGATACAGAGGTGGTTTCAACTTTAAAGTTGAAAGAAGAAAGTTGCTAGTGTCAGCAGAAATGTGTTTTATTATGCAATTGTTCTTGTTATTCAGATCAGATAATGGCCCTATGAAATACATAAGCAGTCTGCAGGGGATGAATGATTAATTTCTTTAACGTGTGCTTACTAAAGGAGTTCTTACTAATAAAGTGCTGTATACCTGCATTTGCTTACAGTTGCAATTGGTGAAAGCAAACATACTTTTCTTTTCCTTTAATGTTAGAATAGAATTTACAGGTCTAGTCCTGTAACTATAGTAACACAAGATGATTTTGTAAACCACATGGTCATATTATTTATGGAACTGGTTGGATATGATTGTTATTTACTGAAAACATGTAATTTGGAAGGTAAACCACTAATTAGGGTGATGTTGGAAGGCTGAATTATTGTTAAAAATAAAAATTTTGTTTTTCCCTCTGTGAAAGGACGATCTTCTTCTCCTGTGTAATACTAGTAGGATGTGGATGCAATCTGCAAGTGCAAAGGACATTTTTCTTTGGTAATTTAAGTGTAAGAGAAAAGCAAAAATATTGCTGGTTATGTAAAGGTATTAAAGTATGCTATATTAAAATTTTAGAAATGGTTAGTGTACATATGACATTGTATTTAATCACTGATATAAACTGTTTTGCAGTTAGAGAAGTATCATTAATGTAACTTTCTGTGTTTCTACACGTGAGACAATTATGCCAGAAGGTGGGGAATAGACAATATTATATTGTAATTTGGGAATCCTTGATTCAGAATGCATGCTACACATTTTCATTTTTACAAATTTCTGAAAATCATGATTTTCAGAATTGCCTATTTAATGTATCTTTAAATATGTTTTTATCTCACTGTCGCTTTTATTGCAACACATAAATTTATTGTAAGATTCATCTGTTTGGAGAAAATAGTTTAATTTCAGTAATGTCCTTTGGGACTTACACATGTAATGAATTTAATAAGCTTTAACAATGCAAATGATTTGATAATATACATTTAATAATGCTAATTTAAAAGCCATAGTAAAAATTGAATGGATAGGATTTTTGTATCCAGTGAGTATCACTTGGATTTGTTTATCTTGTATATTTTCTTGCAAGTTCTTTATTCCTACTGGGTTTTAATCAGGCTCTTCAAAAGCAGTTTGGCATCCACAAAGAATAAATGTTTTTCATTGGTACAATCAAACAATATATAAGTTTATTATATGTTTAATAGTGGTTATACGTTTCCAAACTCTTTAAACATGGGTTGAAGAAGAATTAAAACTGACATTACCTGCCCATTAGGTGCTCACTTATGTAGAGTTAGAGGTTTTGAGTTTTCCTCTCATCCATGTAACTGGCTCTCAATCTCTCTGTATCTCTGATAAGCAGAAATTGGCCTCCAATTTGATACTATGTCAATTCCAAAATCTTATAAAACAAGCTCATTAATTAATCAGTATAGGTAATAGCATCTAGTAAATACATAACATCTAACACATTTACATATTATATTGTGGCAGCTTGATACATCTGAGTTGGGGCAGCCATCTTATGTGATGAACGGCCAAGAAAATTGTCCCAAAGCCATATTGACAATGGCTGGGTACTGTTGCTATGGGGATTGAATTTTTATTTGGAGTGGTTTAGTGGGAGGTGGGAGGTGGAAGGAGGGAATTATGGAAGAGAGTAGATCAAAGTTCCTCCAAATTACCCTTTACCACCCAAAGAATATTAAATGGATAATTTAATTTTTTTTTTTGGTATTTACTTCTTTGTTCAATATCAGAAGGTTATTAGAAGATAACAATAAAATGAATGGTTCAGTGTCCTTTTACTTTTCTCTCCTCTTAATTATTTAATGTAAACTTTTATATTATGCACTATTCAAGTAAACTTATTTTTTCAACCTGAGATTCATATAGTATCATAACTAGAAGGAGCCATAAAAAAGTATTTCAGGCCCTCCTGGGTGGCGCAGCGGGTTAAAGCACAGCACTGAGAATCTAAAGCCATTTATGCATGAGTTAGATCCCAGCCTGCCCCGGAGGTGACCACATGGAGTGGCAGACCTCTCCTGACCCTCCCTCTGCTCCCCTCAGCAGTGTACTTCTTAGATCTGCCTGTTCTGCTCCCCACTCTGTCCCTGGTGAATCCTGTTGCCACCCCTGAGCCTCTGGCCTGTACCCCAGTTCTGTATGCACAAATAAATAAATCTTTTTAAAAAAGATATTTCAGCCCCCTACATTTTAAAGAAGAAACTAAAGACTACAAGATTAAAAACTATAAAGATGAGATGAATTTATTATCCACAGAGAAGTTTCACATCACAGGACAGTAGTACCTGCAATAGTAGTACCATATTAGCTGGTATGCATTGATGATAATTTCTGTACCTAGTAATGAATTATCAGTTAAGATAGTCCTATTGTGGTGTAGGATACAATGCATTTTCTAGAAAGAGAACATTTCTAGTCTTAAAAGTGGAATATAAAAAAAATGAATACTGTTAATTTGAAGTGCTTGCTTTCCTCTAGAAAACCAAAACTTTATTCCTAGCTAGAACTAGTGTTATATAATGGACGAAATTTGAATCCTTTCCCCCAATAACAAAATCACCTTGTCTCTTTCCTTTTCTGATAAAATAAGTTGGTGATAGCAAGTGAACAACCTTTGTTACTATAAAGTGTCTTATATGTTAAATCATTGGAAATTGATTATATTTAAAAGTTGTTTACTTTTGAATGCAATGTAAGATATGGTTGATTAGTTAT